AGGCGCAAAGAACAATTCGTTCTAAACCTGCAGCATGGGTCTAAACAGGATGGCGAGCAACTGAGCAATACCGCCACCGATGATCCGAAAACTTGCATCGTGCCAAAACGTGTGGCTGCAGCCGGGCACATCTGGCATCCGGGCAGCCTCACAGGAGATGTGCTCTGAGACATGGCACCGGACTCGCAGCGGGGTGCTGCCGCGGCTCTGCGAGTCCACAAGATCTTCCTTGGATCACATCGTTGGAGGGCGCGGTCTCAGGGCGATATTGGGGGCCTCTGGGGCCGTCGTAAAACGTAAAGAGACCCAAAAGACAGAATTACGAAACTCCGTCAAAAACCGTGGAACAGAAGATGAATGTGGTTTCTTGGAGCCGTCGTTGGAGTGCTCTTGGGGTCATCTTGGATCTTGGATCGATGAAACAAAAAAACTCCATCGCTGCCAAAGCGCTCGTGTCAATAAATGGGCTCCAGAGAGACCCGGGAAGCATCCGCGAGGGCTCTGACCCACAACCCAGCACGGTGGCGGGATGGGCCGAAGGCCATCAGCCATCAGATATTGCACAACACAAATTGCACAACCATGGAGCGCTCTGTGGGGGTGTTGAACGTCCCTTGGGCATTCTGGACGGCCTCAAGACCCCGCTGGATTCGCTCCGGGCCTCTTCCGGAGGGCCGCCCAGGCCGTCTGGGGAGCCCTCTGGGGCCCGTCTTGGGCCGTCCTGGGCGAGGCACCTGGCCCTGGGCCCCCCTGGGAAGGCTCCCGGAGGCCCAGAGCAGCCATGGCGACGCGAGGCACCTGGTGGGGGCCTGACCCCGTAGCCCGGTATGTATGTATGTATGTGTGTACATATATATATATATATATAGGTGTGTATATATATATATATATGTATATGTATATGTGTGTGTGCTCTTGCATTCCTGTGGTGCACACGGGGTCTGCGCCGCAGCACCAACTTTCTACTGCAACACCGCAATAACGCTTAACAGCAAGGTCATGAAGGCGAGACAATAAGCCCAAACACCTGAGACTTGGCGTCGGTATGGCGTCGGCTCTACTGTCAGTATGGCGTCGGCTCTACGTCGGCGCGTGAGATTAACTGAAGGCGTCGCAGATCATGTTTCGCAACACGCGTGTGAAATGCCGTCGACGTCAGCACAGTAGCCCAATGCAGCCGCAACGCTGCACTCGGTAGCGTCATCATGAAGAAGTCACAGTACGTCGTCATAGTCCTGGCAGTCCATCAGCGCCTCGGCACACGTTGAGCAACACAGCTCGGATACCTCGTCGTCAAAACACACGCCAGGAGCATCTCAACAACCAGTCATCCAAGAAGCAGTGTACAGGTTGGCGAGAGCAGCGAACACGGTAGCATCGTCTTCGCATAGATCCTGCATGGTATTCGGCGCCACGTCATAGCATGTCGTAGACGAGATGGCGCTCCAACAGTTCCCCAGCCCGTCCAGGTTGTACTGGCAGCACGAGGAGCGCTCGCACTCCTCGGCGGGCACGGCGCCGTTCTGACAGTACGCCTCGCCGTTGATGTTGGCGTCGGCTAGCGTGAAAGCGCATAAGATGGTGGCGGATGGGAGAATAGTCGCCGACGACATCGCAGCCTTGTCACCGTGCTGGATTCTAAGTGCGCTGTCAGTTGTCACACTCGGATCCCCCGCTTGATGAATAGCACGCAGCGCGAAACACCGGCACTCGAGCCAAGAAGGCTACGGGGTCTCTTGGGGCCCTCTTGGGCGCTCTATGGGCCCTCTGGGGCGTCTGTGGGCCTCCTGCGGGCCGTTCGAAAGCCCTCCGGGAGCGATCCCAAGACGACGTCGATTCAGAGACCCCTCTGGCATTCATTGTTTTGACCTGCAGGAAAATCCGCCACCGTGCCTCTGGCACGAAGTGGAGTGCCCCAAGGCTCATGCAGCACTGAGAGGGCTGTGCTGCTGCTGCTGCTGCAGCCAGAACTGTAAGTCTTTCAGGACCCAAACCAATCGTTTCCCGGGCCAACCCGAGGTCTGCCGGAATCATTCGTGTCGGCCTACCTCGCCCAAGAGGGCCCCAAAACGAGCCAAGACGGCTCAAAGAGGCCCCCAAGATGGCCCGAAGACGGGCCAAGAAGCCTCCAAGACGGCCACAGAGGTCTCGAAGAGGCCTCCCAAGAGGGCCCCAAGCAGCACAAATCATTTATTTCCTTCAGATGTTTGAAGGACTTTGGCGTTCTCCCCTTCTCGGCTTTCCGACGCTCCAAGACGCGCCAAGAGGCCCCCAGACCCTCCCAAAACGGCCCAGGAGGCCTCCAAGAGGACCCCAAGACTGCCTAAGAGCGCCCAAAGACGGCCCAAGAGGCGCCCAAGACGGCTCAAGAGGATCCCAAGACGGCCCAAGAAGAGGCCCACGAGAGGGAGTGCGAACCGAAAATCCAAGCCTTCCGCCCCAAGAGGCCCACGGGAGGCCCCAGGAGGCGCCGAAGACGCCTCGAGAGGCCCCCAAGAGG